ACTCTGAGAGAATGAGCGCGTCCAGATGTGGGCTTCCACTCAACAGCATCACATTAAAACCTGTAATTTAACCAGTCTTAAAAACGTTTTACACACAGACAGAAACAGAAAAAAAAACGAAGTAGTTGCCATATTTTCCACAGGTAGAGAGAGGTATAACTGCATCAGATTGTCCAGGTGTTTTTTTTCCAGTGGTAAAAGACTCAGATCCTTTATTTAAGTAAAAGTTGTAGCCAAATACAACAAAATAAACATACTTCATTAGCTATAAGTAAAAGTCCTGCGTTTAAATTTCTACTCAAGTCAAAGTAAATATCATCAGCAAAATGTATTTAAAGGGCCAGTTCACCCCAAAATCAAAAATACATAATTATCCCCTTACCTGCAGTGCTACTTATCAGTCTTGATAGTTTTGGTGTCAGTTTCCAGGTGTTGGAGATACTGTCCACAGAGATGTCTGTCTTCTTTCCAACACAATGGAACAAGATGGCAATCAGCTTGTGGTGCTCAAAGCACCAAAAATACATTTGAAAAACTCAACAGCAATATCTCGTTCCAGAAATCATGACCCAGTTACTCAAGATAGTCTACAGACCAGAATCCTGTGCGGGTCCATTTTTGAAAACCCACACCCGCCCATACCCGTAAAGCTCAGTACCAGAAAAACTGCACCCACCTGCACTCGTTAATAAAAGTCCCGTGACCTGACCCACACCTGTGATTAAACACACAGGCTACAGTCACTCACATTAAACTGGGCTCTCCGTTCTTGATTTACAAATCCAGGGGAGGAAAAGTCTCTTTCACTGGCTGCGCTTGATGGTGGGATGGTGAAAACATTCTGCGCAATCACTGCCAGGTTAGGTAACATTTTAGCATGCTCCTTCCACCATCATGAAACCCCAGAAGGATCCTCCTTGGGTGTCTTGAACTCGATGTAGGCTGCCACCTCATCCTCGGGCTGTAGAGTTTCACTGCTGAAGTCCTTCACGACAGTGACGAATGTAATGATGGGTCAGAGGTTCAACTTGTGTCACTGACTGTCAAAATAAAAGGAATTGGGGCTTGATAATAGTGATTTTGATGTCATTTTCATTACCCTCTGCCCGTCCCTGTGTAGTTCATTTTTACCTGTACAAGTGAACATATACCCAGCACAGGACTTTGCCACAGTTGTGAGCAGTTTCATGTAGGAGCTATTGTCTTTCTACCAAACTACACATGCCATCTGTATCACTGCGCAGATGGAAGCATGCATCTACTGCTAGCTCACCTATAGCCACCACTGAGCTAGCTAACATTACAGTGCTGCACTGGGTAAAAACACTATAGGTGACTGAAAAAGCTCAGGTGCCCTTCAAGGATAGGGCAAATAGTCACATAAGGATAAAAAGCAATGACTGGCCAGCTGACTTAGTGTGAAAGTCCATGGTATGGGTCGGCAGTCCAAAAATGCATCCGAGGCACTCTGTATTTAAAAATCCTTCATAAGGCTAATTTACGAATAGACCAACTTGTTTTAACTTAAGAGTTTTCATTTGGGGTATAAAATGCATTGGGGACTGGTGTGCAATTTAAAAACTCATGAAGAGGTAACATGACACAGGTTACATGACAGATTAGTAGTGCCCACTCAAAAAAACACGAAACAAACAAACAAACAAAAAAACACACACTTCAAAGAAAATCATATGAAAATAATGAAAATGAAGGAAATATATACTGTGACTGTTTCACATGTCTAACAGCAAAAAAGGAGTTTAATTACAGTTAATTAATAAGATAAAGCTGGCAGAGACAATGAAAAAGAATAAAAAATAGCACATACTGTGACAAACCTGCACATAAAATGACGAAAAATGAGAACAATGTAATGGTATTCACTAGCAAGGACCACACCACAACGATATGCAGTTTAAAGATTTAATAAGGATGTGATTGTCAGAAAATGGTTATGAATGGGGTGGTGATGAATGGGGGAGTGCAGATTGCAGAGTGCAGGTGAATGAACGGGATGGAGATGACGTCATCGGAGGGTCGGACTGGGTGAGGTGTAGATGTGGGCGGAGAGACTCAGTGTGGGGGTTCCGTCTCATGTTCTGATGAGCCCGTGCTGTTAGGAAGCCCCCAAAAGAGTCTGATTAAGTAAGGCTTAGTCTGTCGTGCGCTAGACGGAGATCATTGAGGTTATTGTGGATGTAGGTTTGATATGCTTGTGAGGACCAGCGCCCGAGGACCTGAATGACTTGGTCTGAAATACCTGATCTGGCGGCTGAGGAGGCGGCACCGATGCGGAAGGAATGGCAAGAATAATGATCAGATGAAATTCCGGAGAGACGGAGGATGTTATGGAAGTGTTTCTGGAACCAGAAATGGGTGGCCATCCTCCCTGTTTCGGTGAGGAAGAGGGGATCTTGTGGTGAATGTGGATGTATCTGGTCAGTGGCTCGTGCGGGCTGAGAAAGGAGTTGAGGTGGAAGATGTAGATGGGAAAGGTTACTCCTAACTGATCAGTTTTACTCCTGCGGAGTGTAAATATGAGCGAGTCTGAAGTGTGGGTGGTGAAGTCAGATAGACTGGGATGACAGGAAGGATCGTAGACAGATGATGTTGGAGCGAATTCAGAGCACCTCAGGAATCCGAAGAAAGCGAGTAGAAACATTGATTCCAGTGTTAAGTCGACTGTGGGAGAGATGTAACCGGAGCGAAGAGTGCGTAAGCAGCGGCAGAGCAGATCGAAGGTGAGAGGGAGGCGTCTGGCTGTCAGGTTCGTGCTTTCGTAAGCCTTTGATTAGCATGGTGACGTAAGCGTGCGAGATTGATTGACAAGGGAGGCCAGTGGATAATTTATGGAATAAATTGATACCAGCTAGATATGTTTGTATGCTGGAGGCCCGGATCTTTGTTACGGTATGACAGTGTGTGATGAAGTTGCACATGGACATGGCGTTCAGAGAGGGAAACAGTAGATGATAAGTGGCGCGGTAATTCTTGAAAGAATTCCAGCCGGTGAGGTAGGCAAATAGCGTGCTTGGTGCTAAACTGTTAAGGATGGTTTCTTGGGAGATGTGAGTGAGATTTGCCAGATGAGGATTTAGCTGAATATGGTTGCTGAAAAAGGTGGGATTGGTGTGGGATGGACATCCGAGTCTGGAGCCAAGCATCTGAATTTCTGGAAAGAGAAGCGGGAGAGTGAGTCAGCAATGGCATTGTGGTGACCGGGAATGTGAGACGCGCGGAGGATGAATTGATGCTGAGCGGAGATGAAAGTGAGTCTGCGGGTGAATGGCATGATGGCTGGGGAACGGGAACGGCCTTTATTGATTATATCTACTACTGCTGTGTTGTCAGAGTGAATATTAATGCATTTTTTTGACCATTCGTGCCCCCAGATTAGAGTGGCGATGATCACGGGGTACAGCTCGTACAGAGCAGAAAAGGGAGAGCGTGACTCTGTATCGAGGGACTAGAACTCGGAGGGCCAAGCGGCAGCAAACCACCTCCCCCCGTAATACCCGCCAAAGCCGCGTCCGTGTAGAGTTGAATGTCCTCGGGATGGGTGATGAAGTCGTCATAGAAGAATGAGATGCCGTTCCAGGATGACAGAAATTGCTGCCACATGAGCATTTCTGTTTTACAAGTGTCATCCAGAACCACGTGGTAGTGGAGAGAGGGAATGGATGCAGCTTTGGTCAGCAGTTGAGAAAGAAAAGATTTTGCCTGTGGAATTATGCGGATGGCGTAATTGAGGTGCCGAGGAGAGCGAGCAGCTGGCGTTTGGTGCACCTGTCTGTCAGAAGATAATTAGACAAGAGCAGCGAGATGCGCTGCACTTTCTCCAAGGGCAGTGAAGCCTGGAATGACATTGAGTCCAGAGTGATGCCCAGAAACTCGATAGATGTGCCAGGTCCTGAAGTTTTGTCTTTGGACAGAGGGACAACGAGGTCGGAAAATGCAGACGTAAGTGTAGTGAGACCGTGGCGAGGAGGTGAGGATGGGGGAGTCACGACATGAAAATCGTCAAGGAGATGAAGGACGTAGGGGAGCCTGTAATTGTTAGAGAGGATCCAGCATAGAGCCTCGGATAAAGAGTCAAAGATTTTGGGACTGCTCTTGCAGCCGAAAGTGAGATGCACGGAGAAGTAGTAAGCCCCCTTCCAGCAGACACCGAAATAACACCAGAAGTCGGGGTGAATGGGCAAGACCTTGAATGCGCTAGTGATATCAGCCTTAGACAGCCATGCTCCGTGTCCCGCCAGACGAATCAGTGCCATGGCGTGGTCAATGGTGGCGTACTGCATGGAGAAATCCGGGCTAGGAATAAGGCTGTTGATGCTCGGGATGTCGGAGCCGTGTGGGGACGACAGNTGAAGGACGTAGGGGAGCCTGTAATTGTTGGAGAGGATCCAGCATAGAGCCTCGGATAAAGAGTCAAAGATTTTGGGACTGCTCTTGCAGCCGAAAGTGAGATGCACGGAGAAGTAGTAAGCCCCCTTCCAGCAGACACCGAAATAACACCAGAAGTCGGGGTGAATGGGCAAGACCTTGAATGTGCTAGTGATATCAGCCTTAGACAGCCATGCTCTGTGTCCCGCCAGACGAATCAGTGCCATGGTGTGGTCAATGGTGGCGTACTGCATGGAGAAATCCGGGCTAGGAATAAGGCTGTTGATGCTCGGGATGTCGGAGCTGTGTGGGGATGACAGGTCAATGATCAGCCTCTTTTTCCCCGAGTATTTGCGTGTGGCGACACCGATGGGACTGATACGGAATACGGAGAAAGGAGGATGATCGAAAGGGCCCATCATAAATCCCTCCGTGACTTCTTTTGCCAGTAATGTGTCAACAGTGTCGGGCT